CTCACAGCAACCTCCAACTCCTGGGCTCAAGCGAGTCTCCTGCCTCAGCCTCCCAAGTAGCTGGGACCACAGGCGCCCGCCACAGAGCCCGGCCATTTTTTGGTTGCAGCCATCATTGTTGTTTGGCGGGTCCGGGCTGGGGATTTAAACCCGCCACCTTAGGTGTATGTGGTTGGCGCCTTAGCTGCTTGAGCCACAGGCGCCAAGCCAATTCCTCCAAATTCTAAGGCAGCACACAAGATTAGTATGAATGTTCATTAACCTTAATGTTTATATAGCTATCACATGATGAACTAACTAGCATATTAGTTTAAGAAAAAGTTTAGTTTCATAGAATGTTAGAATGAATGGAAAGGAACCATATGTGAACCTCAGAAGTGAAGTAAAAATTCCCAAATCTTCCTAAGACTCTTCCCTCTTCAGCACCTCACTGCCTTTGGTAACTCAGAAACTTCAGATGAGCTGAGAGACCATGGAGAAAAATCAGTGGCCAGTAAAATATGGCGTTTTTAACATCCTCTAACCAAATTTTAGATTCCTTTGGTAAAAGACATACTTAGTTTACCCATGATAATTTTATAGAATTGGTATTAAAATTTTAGTATGTTGTAGATATAGTAATTCTTCATTGTCATGCGATGTGACTGGTCCTATTTATGGTGTCCAAGGCCAAGTCCTGAGTTAGAAATTCAACAATTTTAGAACTATTATATTCCCAACAGAAATCGTAACATGCCTCATAACACTTTCTATACTATAAGTTCCAGGAATGTTTTCAGGTGAAACAAAGGGATTACTAATATTTTTACTTAGAATAAAGTATAGGGTGGTGCCTGTGGCTCAAGGAGTAGGTATAGGAAAAAAAAAAAGAAATAAGATATAGCAAATTTTTAAGTAAAAGATAAGAATCTTCATCTTCGCAGCATTAAATGCATCCCACAATGAAATTGTGAGATAGATATTCGCCTTGGCTTGCTGTGCTCATGTTCATTCTACTCTCTACATCAGTTCTTCAACTCTTGGCCGCCGGTATTTTAGTAAGCCCCTTTGGTGTCCTGGAATCCTGGACTATGGGCCCTCCTCTCCCAGCCTCCTGCCCCCATCCTCTCTCTCTCTCTCTCTCTCTCACACACACACACACACACATACACACACACACACGCACGCTGGACTTCCCTGCTTGGAGACAAAATGAGCCAGTCTCTGCAAAACGCCCATGACGGTCACTTTCTCTCCTTCATGTAACTACCTATTTTGTTGTGCATAATGTCCTCCCATGTATATTTTGTGCCCATGTTTCTGGCCCAAACTTCCAGGAAAAAAATATTTCATTTTAATTTAAAATAATATATTTTTAGAGACAGAGTCTTACTTTATCGCTCTCAGTAGAGTGCTGTGGCATCGCATCTCACAGCAACCTCCAACT